CCACTTTTAATCATTTATCAGCAGAACTGGCTAACTAGAGGAGTCCCAGTTGAGTGGAGGTTAGCAAATGTGATGCCCATCTACAAAAACAGCCAGGAAGAGGATCCAAGGAACTACAGGCCTGTCAGCTGACCTCAGTGCCAGGGAAGGTTCTGGAGCAAATCATCTTGAGTGCCATCACACGGCACGTACGGGACAACCAGGGGATCAGGCCCAGTCAGCACGGGTTTATGAAAGGCAGGCTGTACTTTACTGCCCTGATCTTCTGTGACAAGGTGACCCGCTTAGTGCGTGAGGGAAAGGCTGCAGATGCTGTTTACCTGGACTTTAGTAAAGCCTTTGACACAGTTTCCCACAGTATTCTCCTGGAGAAACTGGCTGCTGGTGGCCTGGACAGGTGTACTCTTCACTGGGTAAAAAACTGTCTGATGGCCAGGCCCAAAGAGTGGTGGTGAATGGAGTCACACCCAGCTGGTGGCCGGTCACGAGTGGTGTCCCCAGGGCTCAGTACTGGGGCCAGTTCTATTTAGTATCTTTGTCAGAGATCTGGACGAGGGGATCGAGTGCCCCCTCGGTCAGTTTGCAGAGGACGCCCGGTTGGGCAGGAGTGTTGATCTGCCTGAGGGCGGGAAGGCTCTGCAGAGGGGTTTGGACAGGCTGGAGCAAGGGGCCGAGGCCAGCGTATGAGGTTCAACAAGGCTCAGTGCTGGGTCCTGCACTCGGGTACAACAACCCCACGCAGCGCTGCGGGCTCGGGGCAGTGGCTGGGGAGCTGCCCGGCGGGAAAGGACCTGGGGGGTTGGTCAGCAGTGGCGGGATGTGAGCCGGCAGTCTGCTCCGGCGGCCAAGAAGGCCAAGGGCATCCAGGTGTGGCCAGCAGGGACAGGGAAGGGATTGTCCTCCCGGACCTGGCACTGGTGAGGTCACACCTCAAATCCTGGGCTGGGTTTTGGGCCCCTCACTGTTGGAGAACGGCTTGCAGAGAGCAAGGCCATAGCTCCCTGCAGGAGCTGGTCGGCCTTAGCTCCCTGCAGAAGTTGGTCCCAGCCACCTGAGGTAAACAAAGGAAAGAACTCAGGGTACAGTTATGTAAACAAGGATGAAGACCCAAGGCTCAGTTGTGCTAGCGAGGATTGTTGTGAGAACACAGAGATAAGTTGGGGCGCATTATGACCTTGGGGGTCAGAGAAAAGCAGCCCTGGGAGAGAAGCAGGTTCACAGCAAGAAAGATGTTTATGCATACCAGAAATGCCACAAGGGGCTGGTGTATTATAATGTGACCTTTTAGATGTACCCAATGGCTGAGATATTATAATATAGTTTCTTAAATGTATCCAATAGAGTTGCAAGTAGTGTATTGTAGATTGCTTATATAAGGTGTGATTTCTCTCAATAAAGTTGAAGCTTGCTCTATCATTCACATTGAATCGGCTGCTTGCTTCCTCCGCCCGCCGCACCTCACTACAAGACAGACACTGAGGTGCTGGAACGTGTCCAGAGAAGGGCAGTGGAGCTGGGGCAGGGCCCAGAGAACAAGTCTGACGGGGAACGGCTGAGGGAACTGGGGGGGTTTGGAGAAAAGGACGCTGAGGGGAGACCTTATTGCTCTCTGCAGCTACCTGAAAGGAGGTTGTAGCGAGGTGGGTGTTGGTCTCTTCTCCCAAGTAACAAGCGATAGGATGAGAGCAAACAGCCTCAAATTGCACCAAGGGAGGTTTGTATTGGATGCTAGGACAAATTTCTTCACTGAAAGGGTTTGACAAGCAAACAGGCCGCCTAGGGAGGTGGTAGAGACACCATTTCTGTGTCCATTAAAAGATGTGTTGATGTGGCACTTGGGGACATGGTTTAGCAGTAGACTTGACAGTGCTAGGTTAGCAGTTGGACTCAATGATCCTAAAGGTCTTTTCCAACCTAAACAAGTCTTTGATTCTATGATTCTATTCTGTGATTACTTAAAAATGCAGACTCAGAGCTGAATAAAACTGGTTTTAGGTGTAATAAAGTAAACATATCTAAGATATATACAGGACACCATATAGATTAAATTCAAATGTAAGTGTAAAAAGAAAGAGAAAGGTGTAAATTTATGTTAGCAAACATATGCACATGATCCTAAGTGTAAGGAAAGAGAAGAAAGGAAGAAAAAAAAAAAAAGAGGATGAGGAAACCATTAACAAGAACATCATATTCCTCCCAGTGAAGGACTCCAGATGCTGACAACTTGCCATGACACCTCTACCACCCCCCAGAAATGTCAGTGTGAACCATGGATGCTGATATCCAGAGGATCAGCAGTCAGGTGAGTGTACACCAGAAAAGGCACAGAAACTAAGCGTGTGTGTTGCAATTTTAATTAGACTATTGACATTAGGTCAATTTTTGCCTGCATGTAAGTGCTTGACCTACATTATTGTTCTTTGCTTTTCTGTAATTAGATCAAGACTAATGATGACTCTTGAACTAGACTGTTAAAGGTCTTTTCCAACCCAAACCATTCTATGATTTATCATCTATGATTCTATATGTGAGGTATACTTCTTCTTTGCCCATAAGCAAGATTTTGAATGTAGCACTGAGTTCTTAGTTTAAAAATGTTTAGTAATGGTGTCTGACAGAGAGAGACATCCTCCATCTCCTTTACATGCTGTCCATCTTCATTGGATTAATGGTGATAATTTTCAAATCTCAGTTAACACTATTGTCTCACTACATTTCAGTAACACAAACAAATTTTGAAAGACCTTAATGTTTATGTGCAGCTTCGGTATAAGTAGCTGAAACAGTTGTGATACCTAGTCTTGTGTTGATTTAACATGCTCTTGAGAAAGCGAATTTGAGGTGGTGCTACTTACATTGTTGTAGGTTGCTGGCCACAAAAGATAAGTACAGGGACTGTTTAGCACCATTCATTGTTTCATGATCTAAAATTATTTCTCTTTGTTTTATTATAAAATGTTTATGGGTTTGGATTTTCTGTTTTTAAATACAATATAAAAATAATCTATTACTGTGTTTTAACAGGTAGAGGTTTGTGAGGATAAAACGTTGGAATGACAACCATTCCTAAGTAAAGATGGTGACTGCCTCTGATTCGGCTGTGTTTTTGTTAGGAGTTGCCAGATCTGTGACCTGATAGAGGTGAGGCTGCTACAGCTCCATGCCCCAGGGTCCACCCAGTTGCAAAGCTGAGAATGTATTCTTAGTAGGCACAGACGCAAACTCATGTATACAACACATACATACATGTGTACCTGGCCAGGAACACAGACAGGAACACCCAGCACTTAAACAAACAGCACTGATGGCTGCCTCCCGTCCTCCCCTCTGGCTCATCAGGATGAAGATACACCAGTGGGAAATACACCCCTATGAACAATGCAGCTGGCTCCAGCAGCTGGGCTTAGACCCTCAGTCCCCCCAGCTGCTGGCAGCTGGACATGCCAGACCCCCACGGCCCACAGCCCCACTGCAGCAGCTGCTACGGGTCCCCTTGCACACACCAGCATACACACACATGTACACTGTGGGTCCCTCCAGTAACTGTGACAAGGTTCTCGGGATCCTTGCTTTCTCCAGCTGGCTGTCTCCTGCACAGTGAAACACACACAGACAAGTGGTCTCCCTCAACCCCACACCTTACAATCTCTCCAGCAGGAAGACCCCTCGTCCTTCCGCTTGTCAACTTCTCCAGTTGTCTCACTAATAGAGACATACGCACACCTGGTTCCCAAACCACTTAACCTATTTGCTGGCTAGTCTGGCTTGCTGCTGACTAGTAATCATATACTGACATACATACTCTCACTCACTCCAGTTGCTAGCACCCAAGACCCTGTGATTCATGGTCTGACACCAGCTGCTGGCACTTGGACCCTCACTGATTCTAGTTGCTGGCACCAAATACATGCAGGGTCCTGTGACTCATGGTCCCTACTCAAGCTGTGGGCACTTAAATGCCCATGCACACAGAAAAGATCTGCACAGCCAGAAAATGTGTTAGAAATGTTAGAAGATGGGAAAGACTGTGCTGATGGGGCCGGGGCATGGCTAGACACCCATACTGACCAGCAACTCTTTTACATGCAACCAGTCCCTTGTATCCCCTTTCCCTCCATTTTCCCATGCTTGTTCATCCCCAAGCCACCCAGATCCATTCCTTTCCCCACCTTTGGTTCCTCCCCTAAACATCCCATTATAAGTCTTGTGCAATCCCCAGATGCTCTTCCCCTGCACCCCTCCATGCTTTCTGTACCCCTTGGCAGTATCCTCACTCAGTCTGTAAGGTACTCTGACAGCCTCTCCCATGGACTCATTGTGATGAGTGTCACCTCCAGGCCATGAGGCTGATGGCTCCCCTACGACAGCCTTAGAAGGAGCCAGGACAGGGCCTTCATCTCTCTTACTGGGTCATTTGGGTTCCCCAGCCTGTGGTTGTCTCTTTTTGCTCCTTCCTGTTTGTGCAGATGAGCCTTTTGTGGGTTGATTGCGCTTCTGTGGTGGCTCTGGGAGTGGCTAGGTCAGGGGATTATTTGGGTTCCCCTGTCTGCCATTCTTTCTCCGTGCCCCTCTGTGTGTGGAGATAAGCTTTTTCCCACATAGACTAACATTTATGATGGGCTAGTGCTGTAACACTTCCTGGTCCTATACACTAAGTTATCCAACGTTTCTGTTTGAGAAAACAGACTCTCACATCCAGTTAGAGGAGCAGATCTTTACTTCACCTCAAATCCCACCTCTTGTAGCCTTTTCCTCTTATCTTTATGTATAATTATATCAAGGTTAAAATTAGGGTAGTGTACCAAACCAGTATAGCTCCTGATACCAGTGTCTGGTGTCCTCTCAACCCATCTGGTTTGGTTTCTGAAATAGCAGTGATTTACTAGATTATCTTGGACCTACTTTCCATTCTAAGACGACTGTATCATTGAAACTTTCAGTTTTGTAAATCAGCCTCTAAGGAGATTAACATTTATAATTGGCTTGTGGGAAGCTAGATCCCTCACTTAACCGACACTAATGTCAAACGTGGACAGGAGCAGACAGGCAGTGCTGTAAGAGGAACAGGAGGAAGAGGGTCATTCCTGTAGCACCATTCTTCTGACCACGCGTATGCATGGGGAACAATAGCAGCTCCACAGTGGATGATCTCCAGGCTGTCGAGATCCACCACTGGTACAAGAAGTTCATGACAGAGTGTCCTTCTGGACAGCTGACAGAGTATGAATTTAAACAGTTCTTTGGGCTTCGAGGGCTGGATCCAGAGGCCAATGAGTACATTGAGCAGATGTTCCGCACATTTGATATGAACAAGGTGAGTTCTCCAGCAAGGAAATTAACTGCCTCGTGCTGCTTGGAAGCAAACCGACTCCTGCACTTTTAGAGTCCTTGATTTTCTCTTACAAACACTGGTGTGGAAAGCTGCTGAGGGCACTAATGTAAAGTAGCTAAATGCAAGGAGCAAATTAATGTGCATAGATTATGACATAGATAACATAACCATAGGTAATAATACATTATCTAAGCACTTTGTGCCAGTTCATCTTTGAATTTTGAGAATTCCTTATTGTGTATTAATTCCTTATTGTGTATTAATTGGCTCGGCCTGTTTGACTAGCAAAATAATAATGAAAGGAGATTTCATTATTATTCTTATGTGTTCTTATTGTTGTTGTTCAAAAATATATCTGTATTAGACTGTAGAGACTACAGGAACCAAACACAACAGAAATCATTACAACATTCACAGAGGAAGTAATTTCCAGGTATTTGGCAGCTGCAATTAATACTGCATAGGCAGACAATCTAGGTGTCTCTCCTTGCGCTAAGAGGTATAGCATACAGCTGTAGCTGGGAGGTGGGTAGTAAGTATTCCTTACTGTGGCAAGCAGGTGTCTGACTTTGTTTAAATTCCTCAGTAAATGAAAGTTTCATTTTTTTGCTCTGTAGTTTGTTGAAGTAGTAGAATCTTTGACAGACACATGCACTTTATTTGTTGTTTCTTTTTAAAGACTTCAAATTTTAGTCAGTGTTAAATCTAGGGATCATGAACTTTTACTGTCTGGCATTTTTTCTTGCAGCGGAAACAAAGGCTTTTTGAGTTTCCTTGTAGATTCAGGAAATGGAATACTTAAAAACCTAAGTACAGAACAATTTTTCCATCTGTGAAATCATGTTTTATGTATTTTTAAAAAATATCTTCAGTCACTTATTTTGTTCAGAGAATGGAAAAGAGATCTATGGCTTACTGAAATATCAGTCGTTTCCCACAAAGACAAAGCAGACTACTACAGCAAACCTCAGGCAGAATTACCTTCCACTTTTCTTGCAGCCAGGGCTCTGGGTCAGTTTTCTCCCCCAGCAGGCCATTGGCAGTCAGCTCTGGTGGTCAGAGAGGGGTTTGTTCACACTGGCCATGAGGAGTGACAGCGTCCATCTCTGTGGGTGGCAAGCACAGAGTCACCTAGACATCTAGACATTATAGCTTTAGGAGTTGAGGTGTTCAGGAGATCTTAAAGGTGGCCAGAGAACTAGCATGTGTGTATACTTGCTTTTTCCTAAGTCCAAGTGTCTGTGCCATTTGTCTTTCCTTCTCTTTTAGCTATGAATCTAAAGAGCAATAAGGTAAAACAGTTCCAGAGCCATAACTCCCTCAGTTTATTCCTGTCACAATTTGTTTTTTGTTTTCCCACAGGATGGATATATTGACTTCATGGAATATGTGGCTGCCCTCAGCCTTGTTCTCCGTGGGAAGATGGAGCAGAAATTGCGGTGGTATTTCAAGCTCTATGATGTGGATGGCAATGGCTGCATTGATCGACATGAGTTGCTCAACATCATAAAGGTGAGTCTCCAGGAGTCTGTGTTCTATACCCTTCCCTTAAAGACGCATTCCCACACACAAGTAAGACTTTTGCTAGTCTGCATATGGATGATCACGGATGAGACCTTTGTTAACAGCATTCTTTCTTTCAGCAGAATTCCCCACAATCTCACAGTCCGGTAGGCAGACTTGACAGACTCTTCTTTACCACCACAGCATGTGGTATAGCACAGCTAACTCCATAAAATTGTTTTAGCTGCCTAGGACCTAAGTTGCGCTTTCCAGGATTTCAGACTCTGTGACTGTCAGTCATGGTCTGTGCAATGTGTCCTTCAGATGTCCTTTTCCCCATGTGAATAGTAGTTGGAGAGTTACTGCCAGTTTGATTTTTTTAGAACCAGCTCCTAAACAACAGTGTAATAAAATATTACTGACTTTGGCAAACTATTGTGGAAGGTTTTGGAATTACAGACATAAACATGACCTTGTGAATGTCTCAGACTGAATTATGCTGCAAATTCAGATTATTCTGTAGAGACTGGGTAACTAGAAAGATGCAGGAAAGATTAAATGACCCAAAACAATCTATATTTCTGTATAGGAAAGGTCAGAAAAAGGATTTGATAAAGATTGAAGCCTGAGCTGTCCACACATGAAATAAGATGTTAGTAATGCATTCTCATCTGGATATCAATTTTAGTGCTGGGCATTGAAGGGAGCAAACCAAATCAATAACCGTAATAGGATACAGCCTCCTACTTATAACTTGCAATAGAAGTACTCAGATATCACAGTAAAGCAACAGATAGTAATTAACACAGAGCTCTTGAGAAACAAGTCCTGCGGGTAATAATTTGTGGCAAAGAATTTAATGCCTTTTTAGTTTTGTGGGTGTAGTTCAGTGTCTTTTTTTGGCAGCTTTAGGAAGTTGCTGAGGTGAAACTCAGTTTTAATAAAATGGCATTTGAAAAGCAGTGAAGGAACTTACCAAATATCAGAATGTAAAACCCCCCAAATTAATAGTCTTAGCATCAATATGAAGGCTCTGGTAACACATGTTTCATGGAAATCCTTAAACAAAGGAAACAATTATTCATGAAAAGAAAAGAGAACCCTGCGCTATATGGTTATGAATAAGATGAATTGTGGTAAACAGTAGTGAATAATGCTTAAACTTTCTCAAGCTGAAAATGAATTTCCAGCGAGCTTTAGGGAGAAGCAGGGCACACAGGAAGCAGTATATGAATGGAAATAGGGAAAGCAAGAATAGAAATAAATGACCACAGCATATAACAAAGGAATTTCATAATGTCAAAGGCAGAGGGTGTTTGACAGTGTTTATTTGTCTTGGTGGATCCATTAGGTGAATCCTGATTCTGCCATTTCTGCAGTGCTTAACCTCTATCTAAGCAGATTTAGGGTGATCCTCTGAGTTTTACTGCTCCTTCCATGCTCCAGAATCATGCACCCTTTGCAGCCTTCATTGCCACTGTAAGGCCTGATGATTTCTGCTGTGTTTTCCTATGAAGCTGCTTTATTTGTATGGGGACAGGCATGACTGTCTTGTTCGGGGTCTGTGCTCACAGGCTGCAGCGGAATCAGTCTATCGTTTTGGAAGCCATTAGGCAGCTTCCTATTATTGCTCTTCTCTTTTAGGCTATTCGAGCTATTAATGGTGGTAACCATGAAACTAGTGCAGAAGAGTTCACCAACCGAGTCTTTGACAAAATTGATGTGAACGGAGATGGTAAGATTCCTGCCTTTGTCATTAACTCTGCTGGTCTCTGTGCTGCAGAGAGACATCCATGTCTTCCTTTCTTGATTGAACTTTATACCTCTTCATTTTACATTTGTTTGTTATATGAATTCTCATCCAGTAATGCATTTTGCTAAGGCATTTTTCTCCTTGCATCATACATAATCAGTATGACAAGATTTGTTCCCTGTACTATGTCTGAGCTGTGTTCTGTGCACATGAGTTTGGTAGTGGGGTTTTGGAGTGGGTTTTGTTTTGCCTTTTTGTATGTTGCTGTGTAGCTTACGTCAGAATTAGAAGTGGGAAATATTAACAGATAGCCCCAGCTGCTCCTAAATATTTCAGCAGCAGAGAAGGGAAGAACTGGAATTTAATGTTGAAGTTCAGATTTTCTTCACTGGGTCTACTACAGGCAGTACAGCAAGCACATAAGTGCTGCAGACCAGTTAGTCAAAAGTTGGTCACGCCACTGCAGTCACTGTGTCCCTGAGAAGTATTCCTTTCCGTGCTACTTCATGTGCTCATTACCTTCTTATGTGATCTTTTGCTATTCCAGAACTCTGCCAAGCTGCTTTCCCGCACAAAGGCTTTTTGGCCTAGGACAGAAAACCTATTTCTGCCTGTCACAGCTTCCTTCTTTTAAACATGAAAACCAGCAAGTATGGGATGGGTTAGGACAATGACAGGTTAGGCCAAAAAGGAGGCAGCTAATCCAGCCTTATTTATAGGAAGCTGTGATCCCACTCCTTAGCTACACACTTGCTCTTTCTTCTGTACCCTTGTGTGGGAAAAAAAGAAGGAAGCTGGAGTTGCCTGGATATTGGGGAAGCTTCATGTAAACTTAAGAAGACTCTTTGAGGCCTCTTGGTGCTTTAGAACAGTGTGTGTATAGTAAGTGGTCTCTAAAGTTAGATTACTGTACTCCTTTTCCTGTTCAAATGTGGATTGGCATGATTCTGATGACTTTTGTCTGTGTCTGGCACAGGTGAACTTTCTCTGGATGAATTTGTGGAGGGAGCAAGGAAAGATGAGGAATTCATGGAGGTTATGATGAAAAGTTTAGACCTGTCACACATTGTTGCCATGATCAACAATCGTCGGCATAGTGTATAAATCAGTCTGGGAGAACACGCTGTGCCAACAGACAGAAGGGTGTACACTCACCAGAAAGAAGAGACAGCATTTTTAAAAACAAACAAAATTTCCATGAACACACATATGGAAGTATGAACAGAAAGACACTGTTAAATTTCTGTATCTGAGTGCATGTTCCTGTACAAATATTGAAGCTCAGCTACATATGTGCCCAGCAGGTTCAGAAAAACTGGAGCTGGGTGGCAGTATTGGACCTGACTTCCTAAAATTTAAAGGCCGAGTTTCAGGGCACAAATTTCCTCCTTATTCTGTGTCCCAGATTGTCACTTTGCAATGAACTAAAAGTAACATTAAGGTTGTGAAGAGCTCTAGCAGAACTGGGTGATGGACTGTGGAGAATTTCTGACATGTACAAAAGAAGAGCTTCAAATGGTTATCAGTGTAGAAAACTGTCAAAATAATGTAACTTCCACTGTTCTTGTCATGATATTAGGTCATAAACACTAGCATGTTTGTCCGTACCAGATGTGCTTGGATTTGGTAGTCTCTACAGAGTAGCTTTATTCATAAGTTCTCAAGACCTGAAGGAAAAATCAGCCTTTAAAGCTGATAGTGACAAATCTGCTCCCAGCTGCACTGTCAGCAATGCTGCTGTTTGCAGCTTTCTGTGATCACAGAACTCTTTACCAAAAAGTCAACAGTTTAGGAGCAGCTTCTGTAACCATGAGAACCATTCTGTAACCAGAGAAAATATGATACTGTTTCCCAAAGCAGAATAATTACCTGAGAGATCAAATCTTTTTTAGATACTTTGTCCTACTATCCTCTCATGAAAACTGAATAAATGAAGTGTGTGAAGATGATCCTGATATTATTACTTCACACATCCTTTATTGGTCTTTATTCTTGGGGAGAAAACCTAAGAAGCAAAAGACAACTCAGCAAAGTGACTTGTGACTTCTGCCATTTATGTGAATACTGGAGTGAAGTTGATACTCTAGATCAGTGCTGCCACAAATGCCTCTGTCTTTGTACATGACAGGAAGAGTGATGTATCATGGACAGAAACTGAGCAAACTGTATCTTGTTCACTGATGTTAGGTAAGGTCACAATCAGAAGATCCTTTGCATCTGGAGAGAGAACAAGAAGGTAAGAAGAATGCACGAAAAGTTCCTCAGTGTCTATGCCAAGCAGGCATGTTTTTCCTGTGCAGGAGGAAGAACTTGCAGACCTGTAACAAGAAGACTTTAGAGTGAACTTGCTTATGTTCAAGCTTCACTGACGTACATGTGTATACTGAACAAAGTGTCTAGGCTTTCATCTAAGTCAAGGGTGATTTAGCCAATATTGTCACTGGAGCTTGAGAGAGTGAGTGATCATGTTTAGAGTAGGTGCCAACATTCTGCCAGATGGGCTCATACGCCAGCTCCCACTGGCACGTACACGTATGCAGTCTTGGAGCTTCTGAAAGGAATCACAACCTGGGTATCAGCAAACATTGCTTAGTGCTCCAGAGGATTATCACAAGTGTGTGCTGTTGGACTCTGCTTCTCTTTGGACTGAGGAAGGCTGAGGTTTTTTCCAAGACTCTGTTGAACCTGTCCTGTACCTTTTACAAGTCCTCAGTTGCCTGCAGCTTCGTGGGTCAGTTAAAGCTGCATTTTTATTACCATCTGACATACAGAAAAAACCCTACTTTAGTTCTCAGGAAAGTAAAGAATTTTTCTAAGTGCAGCTGATGTATTAAAGAAATCACCAAGAAGTTGCAGCTGCCAGCAGTGTTGCAACAAGCTGCTGTGCACACTCTACAGAATCTTCTTGATGTACATAGAGAAGAAGGACATGTACACAGTACATTCTCAATAATAATCTTAAATATTTGTAAGAAGAGGGTTTTTTTTTTTTAATAGATGTTCTAGAAAACTGTTTCTTCCTTAGCTGTCATTGCTGATGATGCTGGAACATTTCCCAGCTAAGATGCAATTATGACATTTATAATAGGCAAAAAAAATGCATCATGCTATCACTACACTAAGTTGCAGATGTGTGTTTTGTTCTTAATGTTTTTGTTCTGTCACTGAATTATTTCATTGGATTTAGCTCTGCAGCTAGCATGTTCTTTTAAAGACCAATCTGGCAGTATATGTGCCTTTATCAGAAGCTTTATGGGAAGGAAGACCTTGGGGGGTGGGGGGAGAGGAAATCTCTGTAAAGGGGAGATAATTATTTTCTGACCTACTTGGCTCTCTTTGTACAGTTAAAATTTAAAAATGTACAATAAACATCTTGGAACTGTTCCCTTTGATAGAAGAATGCAGGAATTAGGAGGAAGAGGAGGATAGAATCTAGCAGCACAGGGTTTTCAAGTATCTCCAAGGATGGGAACTCCACTACTTCTCTGGGTTGGGGTGAGGGTTGGGATTTAGGGGTTTAGGATCAGTGAATATGGTTAGGATATTAACTGCTGAAGTTATCATTTGGGGCTGGGTCAAGAGCTAGGGTTCAGGCTGGGGTTAGAATAAGGGGTAGGGTTTGGGCTCAGGTTTGGGATTTGGGTTAATGTTGGTAGTTTAAGAGTTAGGAATTAAAGTTCAAATTAGGGTTTAGGGGTTTGGGTTGGGGTGACAGCGGTTTGATTTAGGATTAGGATTTAGAGGGGGTTAGAATTTTAAGTTTGGGGTGCAGTTAAGGGCTAGGGGCCAGGTTCATTGTTCAGCTTCATGGGTTAGGGCTTCATCTGGAGGCAGAGGGCTCTGGAAGCTGTTTGCAAAGTCATACCATGTAGCTGGTGGTGCTGGAGCAGCTCCTGACCGTCCTGTCCCTGGAGGTTCAGTGCTGGGTGTGGCAATGGAGCCCTAGGACCTGCACCAAGGCTGTGGTCCTGGCCAAGGGCCAGGTTCTGGTGTGTACGAGCTGCAGATGGGCAGGTATTTATGTGGTAAAGGTGGGGGATGAGGTCTCATGTGCTTGTCATGGTTTGGGGGCTTGCCCTGTGATTGTGGGTGCATGGAGTGAGGGTATGTTCCATGAACCTTTGAAATCCCTTTGCCTGTGTCCCCTTCCTCAGACCACCATGTGGGTAATGGTGGAAGGTCCCAGCATGAAGATGTCACATCCTCAAGGATCACTTAAAAACACTGCCTAACACCTACTCCCAGAACATAATGGAAATGGGCTTAAAAGAAGGCCTTAAAAAAAAAAAAATCTAGACCTTCAGCTCAGATTTCTCCTCCCTAACTCTGAGCATTGAACAGATCTCCTCTCATCCTGGTCAGGAGAATTCCTCCACCAGCAGGGATGGGCTGGGAGAAAGAACCTGGGAAACTTCCTGACTAGACAGGAGGCAGGGAGGAATGCAGCTGTCAAAACATCAGGGATGTTAATTCGCTGTCTGATCAGTCTCTGTCTCTCCTACAGACTTGTCCCTGACATTATAACGTCATGCTCTCAGAGACCAATGGGCAACTTCCCTGTCTCCCCACCACAAAGAAAGATGCCCCTAAGGAGGTTGGACTCCAGCACCTTCTTTCAGAGATCCCTTGTGACATGGGAAAAAGAGACAATTAACATGATGTGTGTAAGAGCCCAGCAAAACTTGTTGCCTACCCCGTTCTCTTCTGTGGATGGAGCCCAGGCTCTGGGTGATCTTGGTGTTGATGGATAGGTAAATGAGGGAAGATCAGGCTCAGCAAGGCTGGGAAGTGCCCTCTCTCCTTACCCTGTATTCAGAGAAGGTGGCTGAGGCAGGACCTTGCCCAACAGCAGGACACAGCCAGAGGGCCCACTAATCCCACCCGGGGGTCAGACTACTTTACAGGCATTTTCTCCCCGTAAGGAGTAAGACAAAAAGGTTACAGATGGTCCTGAGGGCTGCTCACCCTCTCACTGCTGTGCTGACCCTTAATCTGTGACTGGGCAGTGGGACAGACAGAAGTGCAGCCCTGTAACAGTAGCAGACCACAAACCCAGAGCACAGGAGTGGGCAGAGATCCCTGCTGGGGCTAAAGCAGGCAGGGAGGGGAGACATGACAGCCGCAGGAACCCAGACGCTGTTGACTGGACCCACTTCAGAACTGTGTGGGGTGTCTCTGCCTGGCCTTATGCTCCTCGCAGCAGAGAGGTGAAAAGGGACAGGCCCTTGGGACATTTTCTGGCTGTGGACAGGAGCTGCCACAGCTGAAGCTGGAGAGGCCTGAGAAAGGGAAAGAAGAAAATCAAGGG